TCAACACTGGGAGGGACTCGTTCAACACTGGGAGGGACTCGCTCAACACTGGGAGGGACTCGCTCAGCACTATGAGGGACTCGTTCAGCACTGGTAGGGACTCGTTCAACACTGGGAGGGACTCGCTCAGCACTGGGAGGGACTCGCTCAGCACTGGTCTTTCATTATGGTCCCAGTGAGCCTGACTTCAGCAGCTCTGAGAACCTCAGAGAAAAGCTGGATCCCTGTTTTATCTTAATGGTCTGATGACGCGTTCAAGTTCCCTTTACATTTCCAGCTTTTAGAAACACTCACAGCAGGTTTTATTTGTTTTTGTTTATTTGTTCATGTGCGTTTTGGCCGGCCTTTTTTTCCCCGTGTCTCTCGCAACACGTCAGGTGACTTCAGTGAAATCCCAGGTAAAATAATCCGCCACCCGCCGCCTTTCCCATCACAGCAAACGCCCTGAAAACCAGAGACAACCAGAATGATGCTGATGTTTCACACCGGAGGTGTGTGTGACTTTTAGCCAATAGAACAAGACAATTTACATTTAAAATAGGAAAAAAACAATTGCATTGTCTTATTTCAAGTGCATATTATCCAATTATCCTTTTCTAAGAGTAAAAATATCTATTGCATTGGCAGAGCATCTTATTTACCTACTTAAATTAATGGTAAATAAACTTAATTTAAGAAAGGTTGACTTATTTCTAGATGGTTTTTGCAGTGCAGAGTAAATATGTTGGAAGTATGTTCTGGTCTGGTTCTCATGGTGTTTGTCAGCTGCTCACATCCTCCAACTGCTCGTATCGCTCTGAAGCTCTGCCATCATAGTTTGACCTCTGACCTCATTAAAGCTGACATCACATCCTGTGTGGTTTTTCCACATGCAGGTACCAATCCCTCTATCCATGTGTGGGACGCCATGAGCAAACAGACTCTGTCTGTCCTCCGCTCCTCCCACGCCAAAGGAGTCGGCTACTTGAACTTCAGCGCCACGGGGAAGCTGCTGCTGTCTGTCGGTGTCGAACCTGAACACACCATCACTGTGTGGCGTTGGCAGGAAGGTCTGGCTGCTTTGAAATTAACAATGAGGGTTTTAGGCATTTATTTATTCTTTATTCTTGTATTTTTTCCTTCAGCTTTGCTGTGTTAAATTCAATTTAGTTTATTTCTGTAGCGCCAATTAACAACCAGATCCTCCAGTCAGATTGATTCAAAGTTTTCTATCTAAGGAAAACCAGCTGATTGCATCGACTCATTGACTCTTCAGCAATCCCT